AAAAATATGATGTCAGAAAACGTATTACAAATAAATATAAAACCTATGTCGTTGAATAGAGCTTGACTGTCTGGTCGCAACAGTGCAACTGGAATTCAATTTGGAGAAAGTTGGACCAAAAAGTGTACCCCAACTAGAACCAAAATTAGTTCTAATCAGTGACGGCGCCTCCTCTTCAACTCAGTCGATTAAAGACCAATTCCTACGCAAATCCTACACAGCATACGTGTCTTCTTCTTGTTCATCTTCCTTTATAAGGAGGGAGAGCTAATCTCTCATTTCTCCACCAATTCATGAAATTCTTCCTCCTAATATGTTCCTCTGAGTATAGAGAGTGCAATGATGATGTCAATTTGTTGTGAAGTCGTCTGAGCTAGCCACAAAGCTTGCCGGAAGTTTCCTTAGAAAATTCTCAAAACCTCCGTTTAACTTCGAGGTAAGTCCGTAGATATATCTAATGACTAGAATGTTCATATAGGTCGTTTCTACGCTCATAAATGGTCATGTTGTTGAGTTTTGTGTTTGACATGCCTGAGGAACTTAGAATCATAAACCATGAATTTGATGTTAAAACTATGAATTAATGGTGCCAAAATGATCTATGAACCTTGGAGAACATTTCTATATACTTTAATTGAAGTTTGGTGATTAAAAATGACATTTCCGTAAGTTGACTCGAGGTAGACGATGATGCATAATCGATTATTAACTTAAAAATCGATTATTCATCGTTTTTCTGATTTTTGAAACACAGCAAAGGAACAGTCGATTGTCAGAATGTGATAATCGATTATCAGCCTTCCCTGAAAATGAATTGGAAGCTGATAATCGACTATCAGAATGTGATAATAGATTATCAGCCCATTTTGAACATCGGATAATCAATTATTAGAGGTGATAATCGATTATCTCCCTACCCTGCTGAAAAACTGTAGCCAGTAGCTATTAATTGGAATTCCTATCATATATTAATCAATTATTGTTTAGAAAACATGATTTTTGAATTATGAAATCCTATTTTTGATACCAACCAATTGTGATTATTATAAAGATGATCTCTTGGGATAAAAATGATGTTTTGACAATTAAGAGGACTTTATGTGATGCATGACAATAAGCTAGAATGTTAACACTCGATGCTAGACCGCTAATTGTTATTAAATATTATGATGATTATTGTTATGGATAAATATGATGTATTGATGATGAACCTACTGATTTAAATGATTATTATGAATGATTTAAACTATGATTTGAAATGAATCCATCGAAGATTATGAAATGATTTGGATTGATGAATTGTATTGTTAAAGATATATAGAAGAACTCTAGGATATACTCATTTGGAAATTAATGATGAACTATTAAGGATTTCTAGAAGAACTCTGAGATATAACCCTATTGATGTTGGTTTCTAATAATATCTAGGGTTAAAACGTACGTACGGGATCCAAGAACCAAACTTGAGTACATACTCGTTTGGGGGTACCACTCAACCCTTCAGTGAACATTACGCTATCGGTTTTTAGTTGACCTTAAGTGAAGGTAAGTTTAAGATTTGAAAACCTGTTAAAATATGTATCTCTTAAACTAGCCTAGCTTAATAGTTAGTTAAGAATATCTTAAACTAGAATAAGTTTAAGAATTGAATTGGTCTTAGACTAAGAAGTGTTTAAATATATTGTTGAATATGATTGTTGAATATTGAATTTGAATGTTTAATGTTGAATATGAAAATGAATGCTGAATATGGAATGATGAATGTTGAATAATGAATATCTGAACTGATCATTACGTGCATGATATCAAATGGTTAATTATGAATTGAGATTCCACTTATGTGGATGTTCGACGCTTTTGTTTGCTCAGCTTCACCGTTGAGCATGTAGTGTGTTTTATTTGCTACACGCAGGTTAATAGAAAGAATAATGTAATATGATCCTGGAAGCAGATGGGGCGAGATGGTCGGGATGGATGTGACAAGTCTTGAATTAATTTATTATGATATGACAACATTTAAATTTGCTTCCGCAATATTGTTGAATACTCCATATTGTTTATGTTATGAAAATTTACTATTGTGATAAATAAAAGTGTTTGAAAAGTTTTAAATTTTACGATTACCATGTTAATACTTTAGTTCGAAAGGGTCTGCAGACCTAGACGGATTAGGGTGTTACAATTTGATATCAGAGCAAATGGTTTTAAAACCGATCTTCGGATCAAAATTTGAATTTAAAAAAAATGTCAGTCACATCCACGACTCTTGTATCCCTCTGCTCCAAGAAAAGATATGAGAATTTACTTGGTAAATAATGACTCTTTTAGAATTCTTATTAGATAACAATTGATTAGTACGAAGTCGTATCGAGCGTAGACTCTAGTTGAACTTTCGTACTCGGTGAAGAGATGAAAGAATAAATGAAATATGTATAACCTCTTAATATGTTATCAACATACGCATTGTATCGCGAATAACGAAACTGATCTGCATTGCAAAATTGTACGAAAGTGAGACGACTATGAAGAAACGATAAATATTGAGAAACATTTGTGATGTTAATGTCAAAGATCCTCATGTGGACTCAAGACGATCTAATCCCTGATTCATACACAAACGTTTAGAATAAATGAACTCTGTTACCTAAAGTATTATGTTCCGTTGTCTAACTCATTACGACACAATATGCGAATATATCATGTGAATTGAAATGTTTCATTAAGCAACAATTCCTTGCAAAACCTTGTTGAAATACCATACAAGGAAATTATAATTATCTTTTGTATGCATTGGCTGATCGGACGACATTGATATTGACAACTCTTGAAGAAGAATTCTTAAACTGAAGATCGATGATGGAAATCTTATAGAGGTGAAAGCAAAGCTGATTTTTAAACCGATCGAGTTTATCTCGAATATATATGTGAAAATATATCAAGTGTGAAGTCTATTCGTGCGATACACGAAAAGAAACATCTGAACTGAAGGAACGTACCAAAAGTATGTCACCTCTCTGATATGAAATGTCTAATATTTCACTATTACGAGAAATTGAATTCTCTGTCAATCTTGATTCTAAAAAGGACCAATATTCGTAACCCCATATTGAGTGTCTTTCCGTCGAAACCAAAAACTCAACTATAAAGATTGCTTGACAAAGAATCATTTAATTTGACCAAGTGTTCCTCCTTGGGAAAATATTTGTTCTGTCCATACGCGAATAGAGAAGAATCGATGAGACTCTATATCAACTACTATCAATGAACGATTTGTTATCCTTTACCTCATATCAATGACTTATTTGATCAGCTTAGATGATCCATTGTATTCTCTAAGATTGACTTACGGTCAAGATACTATCACATCCCTGTTAAGAATGATGGACAAACTGAAGATCAAGAATCGCTACCCTTTACTACATATAGATGATTTGTTCGAAGAACCTGTTTGTAAGAAGCTATAGACAGCTTGACCTTGTTGAATAAACTAATGCATTGTTATGAAGCAACTAATGACTTAATTGTTTATCGTCGAAAACATCGATGTAGTCTGAATTGACTAAATGAAATATAGTGATGCTTACAAGACAAATCGATTAACTCGTTTGACGTGAAAGATCTTGACGTGGTGATAATACAAAACAAGACTTAAAACAGTAACACCAACAGTGAAAGACTGAAGAATGAAGAAAATGTAGTTGCACTGACCATGCAACTTAGATTGATAATTATGGCTAACTTGTAATGTTCGTGGACGATATGATCTCAACATGAATGCAACTTGGATTACAAAGGAAATGTTAGAGATGCAATTCTAAGTCTAATTTCCTAGGATTTACAAAGTTGTCATAACTAGCCCCAAGACCCGGGAAAGCTTTAGCAAACTCTAGTTTTTCTAAAAGCTCATCAACAAAGAAAGAAGAAATAAAAATTTTCCTCTGATTGGAAGCCATTTCTACCTCACCGCATCGTCTAAGAATTTGAGAAGGTTATTGAAATAACCGTCAATGTTTAAGAGACCAATGGGTCTATTGTGTAACCCTTCAGAAGCCCACGAGATTAATGTGAACAAACCTTCCATAGTGTCAACTCCTCCATGAAGTACAAAGAAAGCTTCCACATCATGATTCATCTCAAAATATTTGTAGTAATTGTTGGAAACTGTATGCTATACACCGTATGTAAGTCCGTAGACCCGTCGTGACTATGTACCCAGGTATGAAACCTCTAACGAGACCACCATTGATAAAGACTAATGAAGCAACAGCTCCTTGTAGGTGTAACACCCCGGCCCCAGCCTTGGCCGTAAGTGTCCGCTCATAGGATTGTAGACTGGCCCCACAAACCAACACAAGTCTTTCCCGCACACTTTATCCTCACTCGTGCGCGCCCATAGAAAACTTCCCAACGGGTCACCCATCCAAGAATTGCTCCAGGTCAAGCACGCTTAACCTTGGAGTTTCTAGGTGATTAGCTCTCGAAAAGAAGATGCACCTTGTTGGTATGAGTAGTACTATCAATCCCTTTGAGCTCTTCTCATCTTGATACGGGATATTACATTTATTGTAACTACCTCAAACCGGCCTAGTTTTAAATAAATAAATATTATTTATTTATGGAGACTCATTATTTTAAATTAATAAATATTGAGATTTCGATCTCTTTAAATGGATTTCCAAAGCTAATGTATTTTAATATAAAAAGATGTTTTAATAACGGACCTCTCAACATTAATTAAATAAATTAATTAATGATTGGGGTGGATCTAAAAGTTTGAAAATAAAGTTTTTAAAAAAATTATTTGAACATGTCATTAAATTCGTTTTGATTGTCTGATTCCGGAATCACAAATGGATCTCAATTCGGACCCGTTCGAGGGGAAAATCGCAGGGCCGGCCCAATAAGGGGACAAACAGTCCGTCCGGGCCGGGCGCAAAAATTTAGGGGCAACAATTTTTTTTTAAAAATATTATATATATGTATAGGAAGCCCACCCAATATGTAAAGCCCAATGCCCCAATCCATCCTTTTACTTGCACTTCTACAGTTCTACTTACGCACAGTCACGGAAGAAGAACCGAGCAGAAAGGCTGGGACAACCACGAACGAACGGGTAACAACTGACGGAAGAACGGAAGAAGCCGCCGCCGCCAGACGCACAGCCAGACGCCGACCCTCAACTCCAGCCTCGAGGTGCCCCGCATTTCTATATTCATAGCTTTCCAATTTTGTAATTCTTACTAGTATTTCTTAATTTTCTTTCATTGTTTCATTCTTTATATTTAAAATCTAGGGTTAATTATTAATTTTTAATTTGAATTTTTTTAATTTCTATGAAATAGAGTGAATTAATGATTCTATATGTTACTTATTTGATTTGGATGAATTGATTTAAATTTATGATATATTTGTTTATAAAAAACTGAAAACTAAAAAAATTAAAGAAAAAGAAAAAAATTAAAAACTGAAAAATTGATGATTTGATATGAATTTATGATATATAAAAAAATTAAAACTGAAAAAGAAAAAAACAATTGACGAAAACTTCTCGAATCCTTGGCTAGTTTTTATGGTATGTAATTATAATATTAATGCCTCTGTCCCAGTGTTCTTGTTCAGTTTGACTTTTTTGAGTCAAACTGGACAAACTTTGAACTCCAATTATCTTAATTTATATTGCATATAAGCATAATGAAACACAATTTTGAAAGTACTCAATACGATAAATCCAATAAAGTCATTTTTATGCTAAAAATATAGTACAATTTTTTGTTTAATTGAAGCTCAAAGTTTGTCCAGTTTGATTCGAAAAAATCAAACTGGACAAATACACTTGGACGGAGGGAGTATAATTTTGTCATTTATTTTTTTCTTCTAATAGTATTACGTTAATTATCATTTAAATATAATTAGTTTACATATGTGAATTTGTTAGACCATTAAGGATAAGATTTTAGGGCTTTTTTTCTGTTTCGGCCCAGGCCGATGAATCCTCAGGACCGGCCACTCAGACATTAATAATCACTACCAATGTATAAGATTAGACTCCTAACACACACCCTAAAATAGCCATCTTTAGAGATATTTCATTAAGAAATTAAAATAGCATCACACTATTTTAAGAGAAGGGGTGAGTTTGAAGAGAGAGCAAGAAAGAGAGGGGAGGAGGCATTTATCAAGTGAGTATTAAGAGATATTACCCACACTTATCTTTACTCGGGTTAACTCTAGTCTTCATATATGGAATCATACACATATTTGATATATCTAGAACCTAAAACTCCAACTTAAGAGAACCACTAATTAAGATAGAGAATTAGGATTTTCACACAAAAGTGTACACTGTACACCTTGAAATATATAACTTCACATTAGAAACTCCAAGATAGTTATAAAGAGAGGGAGGGCCGTGTTTATATAGGCAGCCAAAGGAGAATACAAAAGCTAACTAATCATAAGAAACATGTGGAGAAAGTAAGCTAATTATGGCAGTCCATGGTTGTGCTTCCCACGCCATTATTCTCCTTTCTTCACATGGATATTTGGGCTTCATCATTGTAGGAGAAAAGCTAAAGAACATGGTGTAGAATGGCTGCCACATGCCAGGAGAAAAGTATGGGACAAACTTTCTTAATTCAAGGAAATGTGTTCCAGCATCTTCTCTTTATTCATGAGCTTAAATACCCAATGTGTTTTAACTTATTTTAAGAGCATATTTCGGCCTAGGGGTGTTGGGAAAGGTTTAGGGATGTTGACTTTATATTAAGGTCAAAATGGAAGTGAAATGGAAGAAGACAAGAAAACATTTGTACACAAAAGTAAAAGTAGATGTTTTGTGATTTTTTCTTTATTATTTTGAGATGAAACTTTAGGGAAATGTTTGTAACATAAAGTCAGTATTTTTGTGATAAAATGGATGTAAATTTTGGCCATAGGATGGGTAAAAACAAAAAGGGAAAACTAACATGACTATAATGATCACATTCACATGTGAAGAAAATCACATGGTTTGACTTCATACTTTATCATTTTTGTCCAGGGCTGTTTTCAAGGGTAAAAGACTTTTATTTTGGGTTAAAAGCAAGTCCTTATTTCGTGGGTTTAGGGTAGGAAAGGATAAAGAAGCTTAACATTTGATTAAGGGTAGAAAACAAAGAAAAAAGGAACTCTTTTTGGTTCCTTTTGCACTTTTTTCATCCGTATGGATTTAAGTAGGATAAAAAGACTCTTATTTTAATAAAGCACACTTTGAAAAATACTTTTGGATATTTTGGGAGTTATGGTTTTTTTGGTGGAGGCATCCAAGGGTATAACAAACCCCAAAGGAGTAGGGTCTCAGGAGGGTGTGTGGACACAGGTCTTTCCCCTACTCGAAAGTAGAGAGGTTGTTTCTAAAGAGACCTCGAGCTCAACATTGAAAGTTGCATTGATTGACTAATTACTACTTCATTAATTAAAGAAGTGCAGATAGTTTAGAAATCCATTTTGCTTTATTTCATCACACCCCAAAGCCAAAATATAGTGAACTTTTGGCTCCATCAGAAATGATGGAAATCACAACAATTGGTAATTATTCATATCACTAACTTTTGGACGAAAGCAATGATCTTATATGTTGCTTCAGCATACAAAAGAAACTCTTATCTTTAATAAAATGGCAGGACTTTTTGTCAAATAAAAAACAACAATAGTATTGATAATAAACCACCAAAGTTACACATTAATTTCAGTCAAACTCTATGAAGTGTTAAATGATGTCCATTATAGGAGGGAGTGAGTATGCTCTTCAGGGGTATTGTTGGTAATTTATTAGCATTCTTTTAAAAAATATATGAAAAGTCAACGATTAATATTTGCACATCCGTAAAAGGAAAAAAGGACCAGTTCAGATGGATGGAGTAGAGCATTGCACTATTAAGAAAGAAATCAAACCTCAGCATCAAGCAACTCCATTGGCATCCAATGGCCTGGACCATTATAAGATCTGAATACACATTAGCGATAGAAGGCACAATATCCCTCTCTTCTAGTTGCAGGAGTTGTTGATTGTTAGCCTTGTACGTCAATATATAATATTTCATCCACCTTCTTTTCCTTGCATAATGTGGAGGACCAAAATATATGCTAAGAACAATAACCATGTCCTAATATCATATCTATTGTCAACTAACAAAAAAATTAAGAATTTGAGAGAGAATTACATCAAAGCAAAAATCTATTTGTCATATTTCTCACATTTCACAAATAGTATGAAAGCTTCACATGATTGAACTTTAGAGTATGATAGGGTGTCAGAATAACCATTGAATATTACTTGTTCCCACTTTTGTGACCATAACCACGCTAATGCAATACACCGTACCATTGAATACGGTTGTACTTGAGTTTGAACAATCCGAACATTGGCAGCGGTTTTTTTCCTAACCATTTCCTTTTTACTTCTCACACTTTTACTACTAACTTTGATTGAACACTAAATATTGACATCCAATTTCCATCAAAGCATTGTATAATAAAAAATATAGACACCAAAAGAAATAAAAATGATACTAAGAAATAGAGAGAAATCCACTTTCATGAGCATATGACTAACATATGTTGGGTTCTAGGTCAGGTTACTTGAGCTTAGGTTCTAGGTTTTAGTGTGAGTTTGGGTTTCTTGGTAAGGTTCTGGGTTGGGATTTTGTTTCTTGGTTTGGGGTTCGGGCTTAATTTTGGGTCTGCTTTGAGGGTAGGTTATGGGCTGGGTTTTAATTATTTTTGTTTTGGACTGGTTTTTGGGGTTGGTTTTATGATAGACTCTAGGTTGGGTTTTGACTTTTGGGTTTAGAATTTAGGGGTGTATTTGGGTTAGGGTTTTAGGTCTGGTGTTTGGGGCTAGCTTTTGGGTTTTGAGCTTTGGCACACTGATTTTACTTTTTCCATTAGCTATAGGAGGTTGCTGGTTGAGAGGATATTGAGTGACAATGAAACTCAAGAATTGGAACAGTTTACCTTTGTGTTTTGACTTTGGCTTTTGTGATTGAGACTGGTTTTGGGGCTAGTTTTTGGGGCTGGTTTTTGGGTTGTATTTTGACATTAGGGTTTAGAGTTTGGGTGTATTTTTGGGTTGGGGTTTTCTATCTGGGTTGTCGGGTCACTAAAATTTAAATTAAAAGATTGTTAAAGGGAGATGCATATTGGAATCTAGCTATTACACCACAACCATATATGAAAAAGAATTTGAAATTGAGAAAGTTAAAAGCAAATTAAATCACAATAACTAATGATGGTAAATAAAGTATAACTATGTGCAGGAATGGGTATGTTGTTGGGACCAATAACAATATGTATTGAACAAGGCAAAAATTGAGAAACAAATAGTGTTGGTTAGAAGTTTAGTCTTGGGTATGCTTTTACTTCTAGTTTAGAGGTCTTAAGTCTTGAGTCTAGGTTTGGTTACTTGGGGTTTGGTTCTAGGATTGGGTTAGAGTCTATGTTTTTTGGTTGTGGGTTTTGGGTTTAGATCTGCGTTTTAGGCTTTAGTAGATTACAGCTGGGTTTGGAGCATGATTTTACTTCTTCCATTAGTTAAAGTAGGTTGCTGGCTGAGAGGATATTGAGTGACAATGCAACACGTGGATTGGAACAGTTATTTTTGTGTTTTGGCTTTGGCTTTTACATTTAGGACTGGTTTTTGATGCTGGTTTTTGGGGCTTGTTTTAGGGTTGGGTTTTGACTTTTGGGTTTAGAGTTTGGGTCTGTTTTTGGATCAGGGTTTTGGGGTTTTTTTTATCTGGGTTGTCGGATCACTAAAATTAATACTAAAAGATTGTTGAAGAAAGACATATATTGGAACCTAGCTATTACACCACAACCTAATATGAAAAAAGAATTTGAAAATTGAGAAAGTTAAACATAGTTCACAACAAATAATGAATTAGAACTTTAGATTTTGTACCGATAAATGGAGTTCGAATACTATGTGTTTGTAATGGAAAAAACACACCCTTATTCAGTGGCTGTAATGGTAGGATTTTAGATTTTCTTACACATAAATGAAGTTCAAACACTTTACAAACAACAAATATGTAAAAACAGTTTTAGATTACTAAAGAAAAAGACATAATTATTTAGCGGTAGTAAAGGATACAAACAACGCACACTATGTAATAGAAAAAAAGTTAAAAATTAAACATATCAAACTGAAAAAGGATTTTAGATTTTGTAACAGATAAGTCCATTTCAAACACTTTGAAAACACACAATTAAAAGGCAGTAATAAAATGTTCCTTCTTTAGTTGTTGTATATTGTGCGTGTAGAATGTTTGTAGTGATGGTATAAAATGTATAATTATGTGCAGCAAGGAGTAGGTTGTTGAGACCAATGACAATATATGCTGAACAAGGAAAAAATTGAGAAACAAATAGTGTTGGTTAGAAGTTTAGTCCTGGGTTTGCTTTTAATTCTGGTTTAGGGGTTTTACTGTTTTAGGTCTTGAGTCTAGTTATGGGTCTGGTTATTCGAGGTTAAGTTCTAGGTTTGGGTTTGAGTTTCGGTTTTTGGGTTAGGGTTAGGGTTGGGATTTTGTTTCTTGGTTTGGACTTCAGGCCTGGTTTTGGGTAGATTCTGGGTTGGGCTTTGACTTTTGTGTTTGGGGCTGCTTTTTGGGCCTTGTTTTTGGGTATACTCTAGGTTGGGTTATAGAGTTTGGGTTTGTTTTTGAGTCGGGGATTTTGGGTTTACTATCTGAGTTTTGGGTCTAGTGTTTGGGGCTGGTTTTTGGGTCTGGGTTATGGGTTTGGATCTGGATTTTGGGCTTTGGTAGATCAGAGTTGGTTTGGGGTTTGTAGCATGATTTTACTTTTTCCATTAGTTATAGTAGGTTGTTGGTTGAGAGGATATTGAGAGACAATGAAACTCATGGGTTGGAACAAATAGCCTTTCAAATAATGCAAGCCATTTCTTTGAGATGATGTACCTTTGAATGGTAACTATTTAGTTTCATACATTTGGAAGTGTGGGTTAGTTTTATAATGTCCTGCGCTTAAAGACATTCTAATTTCGTTTATAGACAAATAACAAAATTCACCACACATACTCCGGGGTTTCTTTTAGATTACCTATCAAATAACTGAATCTCACACATTTTAAAAAGAACACATAAATAAAAAGCACTTGCAGATTATCTAACACATAAATGGATTTCAAACACTTTAAAAACAACACCTGGATTTCAAGCATTTGCATAATGGTTTTCAAGCACTATCAAACACACCCTTATTAGGAGGTAGTGATTTTACATTTTTAGATTATCTAACATCGAAATGGAGCCGGCCTATGAAGCACAGGTGCGGGTGTGGAAATTTTCCAAAATGTAGGGTGCAAGTGCGGCAAATTTATTTTTATTTTGTTTGTTTTATTCATTTCACTGTGAGATACATGTATTGATGTTAAAAATATTCACAAAATATATCAATTATCCTATTTTTAAATAGCCAAAAAAATTGGAAGAGGAAAAAAATAGCCAAAAAATTGGCAGAAAATGTCTTCATCTGGTTCAGCTTCAATTAAAAATAGTTCTGAACCTGCTGGTGATAGAAACCTGGAGGAGCATCAAAGATGAAGTCTTCGGTGGGGACGGCGTACGATGACATAGGAGCCGGCTAAACACACACCCTCGCTATACTCATCATCCATCAAGTCGCACTTTTACATGCGGAATGGGCAGTAAAAGAAAAAGTAGATCTCGTTATTGAGAAAGTACATAAAATCATGGAGAGACTATCATACATAGAAACACCTAGAGGTCGGAGCTCTCTAATGTTGCACATTCCTGCACGGTTTTTTGTACAGCTTTTTTTGCTAGGAGTTGTTTTAGTTTGGAAGATAATCCAATCTTGTGTTCTAAAAAACCATTCCAGATCAGCTCTGGTTCTGTGCTATTGCATCAGTGAATAACAACTGATATTCTTAGTCTACGAAATAATGCCAAATGCAAAAAGAGAATCCATTTAGCATTGTGTTGGTTTATATGCTCAGAATCCAGTACACATCTTGCATANATAAAATCATGGAGAGACTATCATACATAGAAACACCTAGAGGTCGGAGCTCTCTAATGTTGCACATTCCTGCACGGTTTTTTGTACAGCTTTTTTTGCTAGGAGTTGTTTTAGTTTGGAAGATAATCCAATCTTGTGTTCTAAAAAACCATTCCAGATCAGCTCTGGTTCTGTGCTATTGCATCAGTGAATAACAACTGATATTCTTAGTCTACGAAATAATGCCAAATGCAAAAAGAGAATCCATTTAGCATTGTGTTGGTTTATATGCTCAGAATCCAGTACACATCTTGCATAAAGTCTACACATCTTGTTTAGAGTTGAACTCGTTTATTCTAAATTTATTCTATATTGTTCACAATATTTATTGCTTTGTTCTGCTTGATGATGATCAGAAAGTCAAGCCTTTTCTCTGATTATTTTACTACAATCATATACTTAGGGACTGTTTGGTGAGCCCAAGAGATAATGGGTTCTCATATCTCCAGGTATTAGAACCCTTTTGTGGGTGTTTGGTGAAATATAAAGATGGTTTGGATTTGATAGCAGTTATCACAACCATCCCAAACAGGATCATTTAATTTGGGATATCAATTTGGGGGTTTGATATCTTCTTCAACCACCGACCACCCCCCTTCAGTCACCGATGTTGCCATCCCTCGGCCACCTGTCACTAACAACCATCACTTCAAATTTTTCCAAGCACTTTTATTTTAGATTTTTGAACTCATATCGTCTCCTGCTTTCTTCTAGATTTCAGAATCTATACTATGTCAATCCTCCAAAACTTACCAAATGGGCCCTTAGTGTTCTTAACACACAATCAGAATCAATCAACTCTCAACAAAAAATAATATAAGTGCTACAGTTTTAAGAAAATCCATTAAAATCTACAAAGCTTCTAATATCGGTACCCCCTCTAAATTGCTAATGTTGATCCCTTCTTGAGGCGCTCTAAAGTTTTAGGCTTTTTGAGGTTTTACAGCTTGTTAACTGATATTCACATTTGAAAATTCTTTAACCTTTTGGGAATTTGTGTGTACAAAATGTATGACATTTAATTTCATTTACAAATTGTATTTAATTAGATTTGTTGGAAAGGTCTATTAGCATATGTGTTTGTATTTGGGATAATGCATTTGGTTATTTTTATAAAATTTTCATTTTGCATAAATTGTTATGTTAATTTCTAAATTAAAACCTCTTTGATGACATTCCCAAACTCAAGTGGTTGTGATTTTATCATGTTATTAATGTCATTGCCGTTTAAATTAATAGCATTCAGTTGAGGTCATTACTATTTTTCATTGTTGTCCCATCGTTGACGATGCATCGACTAGTCGTTGTCTCAAAGTTGCAACCCTACCAAGTACTAACCCAACACAAATTTCATTTAAGTTTTAAAAATCCTATAGATAAAGTCTGCATAAATCTTGCCACATACTCTTCTCTTGAGTGGGATAGGTTGGGTTTCTTTGGTTTGATCCGGATTATGTATAATTGTATGTATATTACTCACTATGGTTTTGAGATTCAACTATTTGGACTCACCTAGCTTACACATGGCTTCACTTGGCCTTTGTCTTCTTATTAATAATAAAATACAGAGTAGTATTGATTTTGGGGCAGTGATATTCAAGTGGAATGTGTGTTTTTTTTAAGGAAAAAGGAGAATGAAGAAGGGAGTCCATCCTCAGATGCAATGGATATCGTACGTGACACAGAGTGGGAGATTGATGCCAGTGATGATGACCAAGATACACCAAGTGGGAAAGGTCTATCACTTCAGAGCCAGGCGCCAAATGGCTGAGAGCATTGGCCAAATTGCCAAGTTCAAGCGCCGTTACCAGAAGAAGGAAGAGGAGGCAGCCGACCAAGAGAAATGATGAGCGGTTTGTTTTATTGGAGTTTCTTTTCTATATATATA